TGGGATCAATTAATCATGATAGATATCAAATTGTACAAAATTAGAACAAATGGAACCAAGGATTGAACCAGTTCAATCGGTTCAACCCGGTTTGATTCGAATTAAACCGATTCGATCGGACTAGCCATTTTCCGGTCGAAAATCCAGCGATCGATGGTCCATTCCGACTAGCCAAGGCTGGCCACATCCTTTTGAGCCCAAAAATGACAAAAATGCCCTTGATTGAAAATTACGAAAATGCCCCTAAGTGAAATTACTAAAATGCCCTTCTTTAAGGATTAAGCAAATTAATTAGGGGATAAGCAAATCAATCATGGCCATTTTATTTAGAATTGATCATGTCCGTCCATGATGCCATGTCACCAATCCTTAGCCCTTAAAGAATATTCTTAATCAGTAAGGATGCATTTTAGGACATTGGATCAATCTAAGAGCTAAGATTCAAAGTTGAGGGGAGTATATAGTTTTTTTTCCCTCCAAAATTAGGGGGGACTCTCATTTTCAGATCTGAATTCTCTCTCCTCTCTCTCTCTCTCTCTCTCTCTCTCTCTCTCTCTCTCTCTCTCTCTCGGCCGCCGGCCATCTCGCCTCTTCGCCGGCCATTTTCCGGCTAACCATTGCCTCACCGTCGTCCCCCACGGTGAGACAAAGTTAGTCGCAAGATCAGCCAAGCTTGCTGGTGGTCGGAGCTCCTCATTCCGGTGAGATTTCCTCCACGGCAGCATCAACAGCTTGGTCGCCGGCAATTCAATCAGCCGGTTCAAGCGGTTGAACCAGCCAATCGGCGTTCCCTCCGGCGATCCTGAACCTCCAGCAGCATTCCTTGGCGTCTTCATGTCACTGTTTGTCGAGCTTTCCGAGACTTCTCCGTGCTGTTTTTGATCTGAATACGGAGACCGGATCGCTCAATTGCGCGTCGAAGCATCGTTAAACAAGGTAAGTACACTTGGATGTGGTTCTGTAAATTCGTATACAGAGGAACCTGCATGTTTGAGATGCAGATTTCAGCTCGTTAATGTCGAAATCTTGCGAAGTGACGAACTAGAGAATCGTAAAACACGTCTCAAGCTTCGATTTGATATATTACCTGCCTCAATCGAACTTAGTTTGCTATGTCAAAACTCTTTCAAAAGTTAGATCAGAATCTGGAATGTGATTTTCAAGTCTGTTCTGATGTATTCCTGATTGACGTTGTGCTCTTCTATGATTTTTCTGATTTTCTACGATCGTTTTTTGAAAAAACTTTCTTCACGAAAGTCGTAAATAACATCTTAATCTATTCATCATAAAATTTTCATAAAACTCCAAGCATGTTAGGATTTTACGATCTGCAACGTCATCTATGCATAAATCTGGTGACAGACTAGTTTCTGACTGACCTTCGTGTGTTCTTCGATTTTCATAAATTCATGTGTTCGAAATATGAAAACGTTTTCTTCACAAAAGTTCACACTGAGATCGAGATCTTTTCATTGATACTAATTTCATCAAAATTAGAGTTCATTTGGATTTTCAAAATGAATTTTTATGATCTAATCAGTATCTGTGTTCAGATCTGATTTTCATTCCTTTGGAATCCAAAAAATGTTTTTCCGAATTTGATAAAGTTAGAGTCCTCCTTTACAAAAATTCAAAATTACAAAGTTGTTCATTGGGGTCTCATTATGTTGACTGAAAATTTTGAGGGCCTAATAGCAATTTTTAGAGGGTCAATTTTCTTAAAATTACATAAAAGACCTTCTCGGGTTAAAATTTGATTTGCAGTTGAGTCCTTTGTGAAAACCGAATTTTATAAAAATTTGGAGGACTTTTTAGCAAAAACTCAAAATATGAAAGTTGTCACACGTGGAGAATCCTAACTGTATAAAATTTTTTACACGGTTTTGATAAATTTTGTTATTTTTCCCGCCATTATTTTGAAATCCTTAATAGAACCAGGTCCAGCCTGTCACCGAGGGTGAATTTGTCATCTTCGTGAAAATCGGTGAGGATTTAGAAAAAATGGTCTTCTTAAATTTTGATCCTCATGTCATAAAATTTCTAATGACACCTGAATCACTTAATTTGGACATCATTAATGTAGTTAATCACATCTGAACAGAAGCAATCCGAATTAGATAATAACTGAATAAGTGGTCTCCTTATGAAGCCCACTTCTCATTGCTTGATTGGCTTCGAAATAAGGCCCATGGGCCTGCATGCATGCTTATTTCATTGCTATGCATGTGTTTGTTAGATGAATGTTAGGCCCGGTGCATGTTCGGCGGGTAGCCCATTATGGTCATTTAGAACCCGACTTTAGGGGTTAATTGATATGAGTTGCCGTTTTGTGAATGCAAATGGTAGCCCATTATCGTTAACCATTAATCAAATAATATTAGATGATTAGGTGGGTGGTGAATTGAAATGCATGAAAAACAAAGGCCGATCCCGAGGCCCGTGCTTGATTAGTGAATTGTTTGCACCATTGTTTTTCTTTGGTTATTCTTTTGGACATTGTTTGTCATGAATGTTTGTTGTGAATATAAACGCCGACACCCGAGAGACGGTCCATGGGAGGATAATCCACAGTTGTAAATGACTAAGACGATTGACCGATGTCCAATCCGGTCTCAATTTGTATTCATTTGATGATGGCGATAGACCGATGTCCGATCCGGTTTCAATTCGTATTCAATTCATTCATCCCCGATTATGTCTCGGGTTTTCAATTTGTGTTGTAATAAACACCCGACGAGTTGCGATTTTTTTACTTTCTCGCACTTAGAATTAGCTCGTCTTTTCAATACTTTGAATGTTTACTTTACGTAATGCCTTTCAATACAATCGTTTCTTTCTTTCTTTTCTAGACTAAGATAGGATTAGTTTAGAATCTTAAATGAAAACACAAAAAACAAGATGCATGATCACATTGTGGACTAAAACTTTGACATGAAAATGGTAAAGAACAAATGCATGACAACTTAGATAACAACCATGTTAAGTTTAGCAGTACCGAAAGGACGTTAATAAAAATATTAACGTAAGCTAGTCCCCGAACCTTTGATCTCTGGTTTTCGTAGAAACCAATACGAAAATCCCACGTATTGGTTAGGTATTCTAGCCGACCTCCGACCTAAGCTAATGGCGACTCCTAAAAAAGATAAAATTGATCCGCTGCCACGCGAGGTATGAATTAGGGAAGATTTACGTTCATGAATAATGGACTGTACGGATGAACCATCTTTTATGATGTACCGTATGGACCGTTTCATGAACACTTACCTCTAAACCCACCTTATCGAGTTCGGCCCTCGTGAGGTAGGCCGCGACAGTCTCCTCAGCCGAGAATTTCATATTCGGCCATGTATTGCTCCACGTGCTTCTCTTTCCCTCCACCGCTCTGCTGTGTGGACTGCGTTGTCTCCATGTGACGACTCAACCGGAACGTGACAGCGGGGAACAACAACGTCATCAAAAACCAGAGTTGATTGGAGAGTTGGCCGACGACTTGCTGGATGTTCTCCGGGAAACAAGAGCAAGATCAGGAGGCATCGTCGAAACTGGACAGAGCAAGGCGGCGCGTCAACGGCGGGAGGAACTTCGATATGAGACGTGACAGGATCAATCTGGAATTCCTCGTCTTCTAGTTTTTGCACGATGGTGGCGCAGTCGCACGTTCGAGCGAAACAAAGCCACTCTCCTCTGTTTCTATCCTCTGGCCGTGTATGTCAATTGGGTGGCTGTGTATTCAATGTGTGACCTCCCCCTTTTATGAAAGCAACGTGCCATTTTATAGATAAGGGATTAGGGTTTTTCAAGGTATCAATTAGTTTATCCCTTTCCCATTTAAAAACCAAAAGAATATATCCTTATCTCTTATTTTAATGCAACTAAAATCTTAAGGATTATATTCTTATTCTCCTCCCAAATTTGATCAAATAATGTAGACTTTCCAAGCTTAGCACCCCACGTGCATGTCATATGCAATATGTCGGCCATATTATATAATTTATGAACTTGGCCATATTTTTTTGATTTGTATGGGCTTAGTCCATTTTCATTAATTTCATATCCATCCATTTAAGTCCATCCGCCACCGGTCCGATTAGAATGTAGCTAAATGCAAACGCTCCTAATATCTATACGCTATACAATGCAATTTTAATATTTTTGTTAGAGGCTAAAGTTTAGTCCCTAATTTTTCTATGCAATTAATTACTAAATGATTAGCCAAAATTTAGGTGTCAACAATTAGTAATAAACTGATGTGCACCATTCTTCAATCGAATAAGAATTGTACCTTTGCCTTCAACGAGAATTTTAGAATTATCACCGAACGAGACTTTTCCTTTTATTGTCACATCTAACTCGGCAAACATCTCAGTTCGCCTGCACATGTGGTTGCTTGCACCGGTATCCAAATACCACGTATCATTTTGTCTTCCTTCATCTTCTTTGAATGCCGATAAAAGAACTTGCTCGGCATCATTCACCAAGTTTGCTTTTTCGTCTACTCCGCTACTCTCTTTATTCCAACAGTCAGAAGCATAATGACCAAATTTATTGCAATGATAACATCAAATTTTAGATTTATCATACCATTGCCCTCTCAAGTTCTGTCTTCTTCCATAAACACCTCTTTGATTTTGGTATCTTCCATCATTTCAAGCAATATCTCCTCTGCTTCGTCCATGACCTCTTCCTTGAAAGCAACATTGGCCTCGGTCTCGATCACGATCTTGATTAGTCCCTCGAGTTTGCACGGGAATTCTACTTTGCTCCTTCTCATCTCGGATGGTCAACTGAGTTTGGAGTACTTCCTCCACCGGCTCATTCCTGTTTCTTTTGAATCTTTCTTCATGGGCTTGCAATGAACCCATGAGCTCATCAATCGTCATGGCATCAAGGTCTTTGGACTCTTTGATTGCAACGCCAATATGGTCGTACCTTTTGTCTAAGGATCGAAGAATCTTCTTGACAACATGAACATATGGGACATCTTCTCAATATCTTTTCATTCAGTTGACAATTGCCAACACTCTTGTGAAATAATCAGTAATCGATTCAGATTCTCTCATACGGATTGCCTCGAATTCAACTCTCAAAGTTTGAAGGTGAATCTTCTGAACTTTTTGCACTGATTGGTGTATGTTGTGAAGAATCTCCCATGCTTTCATAGAAGTAGTAGCATTCAACACCTTCTCGAACATTGAATCATCTAAAGCTTGATAGATGATTGACAAGGCATATTGATCTTTTGCTCGAACTTTCTCCAAGGCATTCCTCTGGTTTTGATTCAATGTAGCGTCGTCCTCTGGCTCATCATAGCCGGTGTGTTGTGCCACGCTTTCACATGCTAAGGAGGTATTTTCATTTGTCACGAATGAGGAAACTGTCCCCGAATGAGCTACTAAGGTCCGAAACGGATATTTCGCCTAAACGTCTCATAGACATCCCATCACTAGACAAACGAGGGCCTCTCCCATACCATACCTCACGTGATAACGGGTATTATTTTTTTTTATCTTTCTATTTAACCTAAGTTTTGATTTGGAGTCACCACTAGTCCTTATTGGTCGACTAGAAACCTAATTAAGGTATGGAATAAATACCACGATTTCTGCAAACTAGAGATTATATGGGTAAGGGAACTTGGTTACGCTAATGATCCCAAATTGAGATCTTTAACGCCCTTTCGGTACCTAAAACGATCCGATATGTCTAAACGTGTTACGCGAGTTCGCAAGGCTATCTACTAATTCTAACCGTTCTAATCGGGAGAAATCAACCAATCAATAAAGAAATGCGCAATCAATTTCAATCAAACACAACATTCCTAAAATTGTCTCTAAAATAAAAATCAATCAAAACACCCAAACCCTAGTAAAGCCCTAAAGGCTTGTTCATTCAATGGATTGTGTTGTCTTAGGGTTTTAGGGTTTTTTAGGAGTAACGACCCATTTCGAGGGTTAAATCCCCTTTAGGGTTTTTTAGGGGATAAAACCCATTTTAATCCCTAAACTAAGAATCTTCAACAATACCATTTGGGCACCTCAAAAAAAAATTAAATTTCACTCAAAGTGGGTGGCCATAAGGTTTCTAAGTCATTTTGTGAATTTTTGAAATTTTTTTTTTGGAAAAGTTTTTATGAGAATTTTTACTTTCTCGAAAACTAATATTTTTTCTTTTCTGAAATTTTTTTATTTTTTTAATTTTTGTGGATTTTGGAAATTTGCAAATTTTTTTATGGGTTTTCTAGAATTTTCAGAATTTTTATGAATTTTCGAATTTTCTGATTTTTTTTAGGATTTTTCTGAATTTTCATTTTTTTTATAATTTTCTGAATTTTTTTCTGATTTTTTAGGATTTTTTTCTGAATTTTCTATTTTTTTTTTATGAATTTTCGAATTTTTATGAATTTTCTGAAATTTTTTATTCTCCCATCGGAAAAACGAATCGGACCGAATCGGTTCGGACCGGTCCGACCAAGTCGGACCGACCTAGTCGGCATCGGCCGACGCTCTGGCGAGCACGGCGCCAAAACGGCGCCGTTTCTAACTTTTTTCTTATGGACATTTGATCGAACACCTTCTAGGCATGAAACTAGTTTTAGCATTATCAAGGCCGCCACTTCGGACCAAGCTCCAGCGACCTTCCGGTGTGTTTCAGGCCACTTCCTCATTTCCCAGATCATCTATCACACTCCCTCTAACCATCTAGCCCTATTGGTTCGCCGTCGGACCATCGCCGGCCGATGAAAATCGAGCCAAAAAATGCTAACCTGCAACTATTCTAATCATCTTATCTAATATCCAGATCAGTATGCAGGATGTCCCAGCCATTTCTAACGATCACACATCACTCAAAACAATCAAAGAGAATCAGAAACACTAACTTCATTGGCCGTTGGCCGTTGGAAAGCATTCCGGCGAGGTTTGGGAGCTCCGGTGTGGGTTTCATGGTGTCCGACTCAATGAGAATGCCATGTCATCGATTCAAAATGCAAGAAACAATGAAACATATGATCAGAAACATGTTTTAAACCTCAACAATCTCAAAATCACAAAGAAACATGCATAATCAAGCGTGATGAAACTCAAGCACCTATTCTGGATTTTTATCAAACGATGATCATGAGCAAACTTTACCTTCTTCGCCGGAGCTTGATTCTGAAATTTCGAACCAAATGGTGACCGTAGGGTGATTCCTTGACACCTGCTCTCGAAGCTTATGAGCTCCGCTTCACTAGGAAGGTCCTGCATTGGTCGGCCAGAACTTAGTTTCAGGCCTTCGTGACTAGCTTTGCACTGATCACCTAGGGAGGATGTCCTCCTTGAACGATCGATTCGTCAGCGTCGTTCAGTCGATCGACGCTGGTCACTCAATCAGGGGACGTCAACTCCCTTCTCTCTTAGTCTCTCTCTCTCTCTCTCTCTTTCTCTCTAACTTTCTCTCTCTTTCTCTCAGGATTTCGTCGAGCACCTTCTCCTCGTGATAACAACTTTTTTCTGGTTTTTTAACCCTCTTCCCGAAGTCGGTTCTTGGCTCTAACCGACCTTTGAGTTGGCTATAACAAATGAGGATGGATAGCTGGAGACCGATCCGTTTATCACGTGCTCGATTAGTCAGAGTAGGTCGGTGAAGACGCGGCTCCGGTTATTTCTTCCTTTCCCGCGCAGGCAAGCTGATCGGGCGAAGGGGAAGATCAACCTGGGTTAGTCCAAATTCACAAATTAAACCCCATTTTGACTCAAATTTTCAAATTTAACCCCGAAATTGGATTCCTCAGCACATTTTGCATCAAGTTATGAGATTTGTACTAATTTGGTTACACTTAGACCCCAAAATTCTCAAATTTGAATTCGGATCAATAGAGTTTTTATTCAATTCAGTATCCAAATGACCTAATTAGGCAAAATTGAGGCCAAAATTGAATTACCTATGACTTGTTAACCCTAGGGAAGGTATGGGTCTTGATTGAAAATTTCAAATTGAATGGAATCCCCAATTTGGGTCTTAAAATCCCCTAATTTCCAATTAATTTTTGGGGATTTTCAATTTCTTTGTCAAATTATGCAATTGGACCGATCAATATGCAATTCAAGGTCCCAAAATCAATTGTTGTGAAGACACTATAGCCTAAAAATGACTAAAAACGATTTAATTGGATTTTTGGCTCAATTAAGGTATGAAATTACCCAATTTTGGGAAAAACATATCCCCAACTGAAACTTTCTAAAATTGAAACTTCAGTGATGAAATTGGAATTAAGAGAAGACTAATGGCTATTTTTAAAGGAATTTTTTTAATTCCATTTGGTATTTTTCTTGATTTTTCACTCATTTTAGCCAAAAGAAATTAAGGAAAATTTACGAAAATTCTAAAAAATTTATTTTTTGTTTAGAAATAGGTTCCTAAGCGTGGCCAAGGTTCCTAATCCCAATTTTGTGATTTTATTTGAAATTGAAAATTTTGACTAAAAATCAAGTGTCAACAATTGCCTCTCTTTGAGATTAAGCTCGTTAGAGGTTGATCTTAAAGACAAGATGACACCTGAATCCTAGCCGACTCAACTAAAAGGACAACTAAAAATTTCACAACAGCTGATCAAGGTTCTTGCTTTATAATTCTTGACCCAATCCGATTTTTCACCTTGGTGCATTTTATGAATTTTTAGTATTTGAGGGATGTTGACACCTGATTTTTAGCTCATTTTTTTTCATATTTTCAAAAATCTCAAAATTAGGACAAGGAATCTTGGTTAAGCCTAGAAACCTATTTCTAAACCAAAAAATATTTTTTTAGCATTTTTCTGCATTTTTCCTTAATTTCTTTTAATCAAAATAAGTGAGTTAATCAAGAAAAATAGTAAATGGAATCAGAAAATTCCATAAAAATAGTTATTAGTCTTATTTTAAATCCAATTTCATGAATACATCATCAATTTTGAAAAATCTCAATTGGGTATATGTTTTTCCCAAAATTGGGCAAAATTAAACCCGAATTGAACCAAAAATGCAATTAAATTTTTTCTAGTCATTTTTAAGTCATAGTGCCTTCACAACAAATGATTCTGGGACCTTGAATTGCATAATGGTTTGTCCAATTGTGCAATTTGACATAAAAATAAAAAATTCCCAAAATTCGATTGAAAATTAAGAATTTTGAACCCAAATTGGGAATCGTGCCCAATATGAAATTGTCGAACCATGAGGTTATCATTTCTAAGGTTAATCAGGTGTGGGTAATTCAATTTTGGCATCAATTTCACCTAATCAGGTCATTAGGACATCAAATTGAAGGAAACCCTATTAACCTGGATACAAAAATGTGAAAATCTTGGACACAATTATAACAAAAATTGGGGAAAATCATATATTTGGGTTCGGAATATGATGGGGAATTCAATTTTGGGGTTTAATTTTGAAACAATCGGTTGAAATTGAGTCCAATTTGAGTTTTTAATCAAAACCGGGCATGCCGGGTTGACCGGGTCAACCCGACCCGACCCAGTGACCCGTCTTCTTCACCCGGATCACCTCAGAATGTTCAAACCCAGAAAATAACTCTCGTGCCCAGAACTTTACCGACTTCCCCCGATCAAATTAGTACGTTTTAATCGATTTGGCCAGCTGGAAAATATCTAGCTGGCACTAGGGAATCAATCTAACCGATTATAAGTTAGTTCTAACCGAATTTGGGCGGGATTTTTGATGAATGAAAAATGGAAAAAACTAGAACATTGCAGAAGGGAACCTGCTCGACGAAATGCCAGAGTGAGAGAAGAGAGAGAAACAGAGGAAACCAACGAAAAGGATCTAGAGAGAGAGGGTCGAGAGTCTCTTCACGAGTGTTCGGTGCCGCCGTGGACGGCGGAGCACCGGCGAATCGTGATTTGGCCGTGACTCTCCCCTAGTTGTTCCAGTCGACTCGGCTGGTCCTGAAGGCCTGAAACCGAGCTTTTTCCGGCCAATCCAGACCTTTTCCGGCGAAGCCAAAACCATCAGGTGGAAGTACAAGTGTCAAGGAACAACACTATAGGCACAGATCACTTCGACAATTTCTTTTAATCATCGAACGAAGAAGGTAAAGTCGGGTCATAATCATTTTTTTCAAAATTTTCCAGAATTTGGTTTAATCCCAATATGAATGTTTGTGTGATTTCGTCGATGAATCTCGGTATTTTGATGTTCAGAACTAGTTTCTAATCATGTTTTCTATTGTTTGATTGCATTTTGTGCTGGTAAACCATCAAAACCATGTCAATCTGCCATTAAAAAACCTTTGCCGGAGCTCGGGAATCTTCACCGGAGCACTCCCGTGGCATTAAGCTACTCAAGTCAGCTTCCTTGACCT